AAAATAACTCCTTGTTTTCACTTTGGATCGTTTATTAAAATCATTTTTAAAAAGGCTGACTGGACTAAAAAGAAAGCGGTCCTTTGCATCACTTCCCCTCCCCCCCTTTTTTCCTCTTTTTTTATTTTTGATATTCTTTATTCTTCCCTGGGGAGAGACGGACTTCTCCACAGCGTCATTATGTTGAACAACATGGATTTGAACGCTAAAGATTCGTTTTACCCGCAGTTTGACAATTGCAACAGTTCTTCCTTGGCGATGGAGAACGGCGCGCGGAAAGACAACCAGGAGGTGTTCGTGGACGCGGCGGCGGCGGCGGCGGAGAGGGGGGTACCTGCCCAGTTCGGCCACGGTGAGTTGTCTCTGTCGACAAAATCATGCATGCGCGAGCATTTAAAGATGAGCAGAATATCCCCCCAAAAGACTTTAAATCAAAGCTTCTGTGCCCAAACAGCTGTTTATGTAACGCAGCGGTTATTGCGCACGATAATAAAGTTCTCCTCCTGTTTTTTTTTCCCCTCCTGATCATTTAATTCAACAGAAGGAGCCCCCGCAACCCTAAAAACCGAGGCTTCCAACTCGGAATTCGCGTTCAACCCCTGCGAGTGCCCCAAGGACACCTACACCCCCTCCTCGCTCGCCTACTCGGGCAGTTTCTACGTGGAGGCATCTCAGGGAGCGCCCTGCAGCACCGAGACGCTCCTCAACATGATCACCGAGATCGTGGGCATCTCCACGCTGCCGCTCTCGGAGGCGCAGCAGAACGGCCCCACCAGCACCACCAGCACCACCAGCAGCAGCACCATCAGCAGCAGCAGCAGCATCGCCAGCCGGGGGGCGTACCCGTCCCCTCACCATGAGCCGCTGGAGAGCAGCGAGGGCGCAAAGAGGCCACCCCCTTACACCTGCTCCGGACCCCATCCGACCGTGTACACCCCGGACCAGGCGTGCCCCGCGTACGCGGAGGAGCAGGCCCGGGAAGACCCGAACGCCTCCCAGCTCGGCTTCGGCTCCTCTCGGGCGCAGAGGAAGAGCGAGCCCAAGTCGGAGGCCGCGTCCTTCCCGGTGGTGGTCAAGAACGAGTTTGAGAGCAGCTGCTACGAGTGGGGGGCCTTCAGCAACAAGTCCGACTGCTTGGAGTCCACTTTCCAGACGGAGACCTTCCCCATGTCCAACGACTTCCCCCCCGAGCAGCAGATGGACGTTAAGGAGCTTTTGGACACGTTCCCGGCGATCTGCCCCAACCCGGAGATGGAGTTCAAGGTGGAGGGGGGCATCAAGCAGGAGCCGTGCTTCTCTGACACCTGCTCCCAAAGCTACTCCACTCCCCTGTATAACAGTTACCTCCCACCGCCCCCACCCATGGGCCTCTCCTCGAACCTGAAACCCTTCCCCGAGCCCCCGCAGCAGCCGTCCAACCAGTGCGAGCCTTTGTACACGTCTTTACCCAGCACCATAGACTCCATCCTCTACTCCTCCCTGCTGCCAGACTCCTCGTTCCCACAAACTTACACCACCCGCGCCGCGAAGCCCCCTCGAGCGAGGAAGACGCCCGCCTCCTCCTCCTCCCACGGCCCGGCCAAGGAGAAGCCCTTCACCTGCCCCATGGAGAGCTGCGACCGCCGCTTCTCGCGCTCGGACGAGCTCAACCGGCACATCCGGATCCACACGGGCCACAAGCCCTTCCAGTGCCGCATCTGCCTGCGCAGCTTCAGCCGCAGCGACCACCTCACCACCCACACCAGGACTCACACGGGCGAGAAGCCCTTCTCCTGCGACGTGTGCGGCAAGAGGTTCGCGCGCAGCGACGAGAGGAAGCGGCACGGGCGCGTGCACCTGAAGCAGAAGGAGAAGATGGAGCTGAAGCCACAGGTGAGCGCGGCGGCGGGCGCGTGGCCCTTCAGTCTTCCCGAGGGGATTTGAAGCCAGTTTTTTGTTGTTGTTTATTTTTATTTTAGTTGTTGAGGAGGAAGATGACGACAAGTTCGTGTCTGAGTTTTCAAACCAGAGGAGCAGAGCGATGAAGAGGAGGAGGAGGAAGAGCAGGTGAAGGAGCTCTGCTGCGGCCTTCCAGCCTGTTGCTGCGGACTTCCTGTCTGCAAACAGCTCAAAAGAGACTTGCTGCTGTTGTTTCTATGAGTGGAGTTTTTTGTTTTTATTTTGTTGCATGACTTGCTGCTCATTCAGCACCTCTTCATGTGGCCAGCTCCGACCTCCACGCGCGCGCCTCTGAGGAAACGAGCAGGATTGCACTTAAACTATTTCCACTCTAGATCTTTATTTTTCCTGCTTTTTAGGCAACCGTAGAGCAATTATTTGAACAGTTTATTCAAAAATGCATGTTTATGTCAGTGTTTTTCTTTTTTCTTTTTTTTTTCTTTTTTTTTCAACTAGGAACAGAAGCCACGCTCAGTTCCTTTCCTTCACTTCACAGTGAAGGTTTGAATGTAGGCGAACACAGTTTGATGGTTTGAACCATGAAAGCTGTTCATCCCTGATCAGTTTAGTGTTGATCATTTTACTGTCAGTGTTTTTTTTGTCATTGGTCTTTGTGTTGTGTTAAAAATTGTTTGAATTACTACAGTTGTGAAAGATATATCATAAATGGGAAATAAATATATTTGTATCACTGTACTTCTTTGTATTTTTATAGAATAAGTGTATATT